GATTTCCCCAAGTAAAAGGGGAAAATTAAAAAGTTGAAAATTTTTTTCATTTTTTTTATTTTTTAAAACAATTGCATACAAAAGACATTTCGAAAAAACCTGTCCTTTAAACGTTAAAGGCATGCTTTTCGGGCCCTTAAAAAAAAATTTTTAAAAACTAATTTTATTGGTAAGTTTTCAGGGTGAAAAAAACAAGTACAAAAAATTTTATTGTTTTATTGACTGGAAAGAAAAAGGGTAATTTAAAAGCCGAAACGTAGGTCTTTTAAAAAATTAAAAGAAACCTACCCCACCTTTCTTTTCGGGGTTTTTTCACTTCCCCCTTAATTTTTTTTATCTATACGATATTGACTTGTTTAGATTCAGAAGTTAAAAGAAAAGTTAACACTCGGGAAATTTCAATTTTTTTTTTTTTATTCAGTAATAGGGCAGGGAAAGTGTTTTAATAAAATTCAAAAAAAAAATTTTTTAAAACAAAAAAGAAAATGCTTATTTAAATGAAAAAAAATAGGGGTTGTTTTTAAAGTGTGGTAATTTCCTTTCCCCGCCCCTAAGGGGCGGAGCTTTTTTTGTTTAAATATTTTTTTTCGTCCATGGGGCCCGGGTTTATAAAAAAAAAATCCTTTCCCATTTACAGCTTAAAAGGTTTAAACCGCATTCAAGAAATCCTTTTTATTTAATATTGGGTTTTCCCGAAGGGTTTTTAATTTTTTTATAAATTTTCTGTTTTTTACACTTAGGTTTTAAATTTTTTTCCCCTTTTTTAAATTTGTACAATGAAATTAAAAATTTGTTTTTTTTGAATTACATTTACAAACAGCATAAACAAGAAAAATATTATTTTCCCCCCCCCCCCTTCGGGGTTTTAGGCATAAGACTTTAACAAATTTTTCTTTTTTTAATTATTTTTTTAATTTTTATTTTTGAAATTTTTTTTTTTAATAATAACATTTTTTATATTGGTTGGGTTTTAAATAAAATTTTAACCCTTTGGTATTAAAAGTTACATTTCATTAGCTCAAATTTTTTTTTAGCATTCCCCTTTTTAAAAAGAAAAAAAATAAAAAGGGATGGGCTTGGTGACTGTTTGGGGGAAACCGTAAATCGACAAAACGAAAACTCATTTTGTGGGGCCTTTGTTGGAAAATGGGGGACCTTTATTAACCAATTTGGGGGTTTTTAAGGATAGATATCATTTGGGGAACCAAAAACTTTTTGTTTCTGGGAGCCTTTTAAAAAGAAGTTAATTTTTTTTAATGAATGGTTTTTTAAACAAAAATTTAACCCCAAAAAATAAAATATTGATTCCCAAAAATTAAATTTTTCCAATTGGTTTTTTTTTTAATTCCAAGTCAAAAAAGCTTTCATATCTTTGGGGCCCCGGGAGAAAATTTATGTTAGTGGGGTTTTTTCCCCCCCTACCCGCCCCAAAAAATTCAGGTAAAGGGCTTCTTTTTATATTGATAAATTTCTTTTTTACCATGTAAGCGTGTTTTAACAAACCCAAACAAAATCCTTTAATTTTTGGGCTTTTTGAAAATTTATCCCATTTTTTTATTTCAGGGGTGGTTTTTACTTTTAGTATTGGGAAAAAAAACCCTTTTTTTTTTTTTAAATTTTTTCATGAAAAAAGCATGGGAATAAATTTCTAAAATTATATTTTTTTGTCCTTTTTTTTTCTATTTGTATATTTGGTTTCAATTATAATAATACAAAAAATAAATTTTTTATTTTTAAACATCTTTATGTTATTTTACTACAAGTGAAAACAACAAAAACAGGGACAATCATTGGTCACATAAAAATTTTTCAAGTCCCTTTTAAAAACCCTTTTTTTGTTTTAATGAAATTTTCTTTCCTTTTAAACCAGGTAGGAAAAGTTTTAAAGCATTTTTTTTTATTAAAAAATCTTTCCCCCCTTTTTTATTATGGACGGGGCATAAAATTAAATTATATTATTCAAAAATGGTTTTTCCAAAACTTTTGGGAAAAAATCTACAATAGTATTTAAAAAGGAAATTAAACATGACCCGTTTCGTTAGGAATTAATTTTTGGGAAGGTTTTCTTTTAATGAGCACATTTTTTTTTGGGGGGAGGCCCCTCCAATTTTTTTTCAAATTTTCGGAACATTTTTAAATTTTTTGTAATATAATGCGGGAAAAGTAAACAAAATTGGGATTTAATAATTTCTTTCTTTTAAAAACGAATTAAAAAAACCACAAAACTTTGTACTTATTGCTAAAATCTTAAGATTCTCAAGGCCGATAATGGAAAGATTTAACTTTTTATGAAACGAAATGTAACAGTAGGGATTTATTTTTCAAAAAAAAGAAATAAACAGATTTATAGGTCATTTGGAACCCTTTTAAACAGTTAAAAAGACAATTTTAAATAAACGTCCCTTTTTTTTTGAAAACCCTTTGAATGACATTAAATCGGAGGGCTGCTTAATTACTTTTTAATACATCTAATGATTGCAACTTAAGACAAAATGATCAAAATTCTTAGTTGCTTTTTATTGTAACTACTAAGAGGCAATTAACAAATAAACAAAATAGGGTTATTAATTCTAAATTGTTTGGTTACATCCAGCAATCAAACTTTTATCTTTTAGTAATGACATTTTAAATACTCTTTTATTTTTTAGGTCGTTTGGAGAAATCTTCTGATCCGCATCAATCGCTATCGGAGAGTTTTGTTTACGCCCCAGACGCAAGGATATAGTGTCAGCGATCTTCAAAAGACAAGGCAGGGGAATAATAATCTAGAAATACCAACAACATTCGAGAAAGAGTGATTTCCGGGTTTATCAACTTGCCAAGTTAGGGCACTGGGCGAAGATAAAACTGATAAGACATATATTATTAACGGTGGTTTTGGTAAGTGTTTTGATATTGTCAGACCTGAGTATGTAAAAAAAATAGAAAACAAATCTTAATGTGAAAAAAACTAGGTTTTTTTACAAAGATGGTTGTGGACGATTTTATAACGGTTATATAAACTAAGTTAAGTTATTTTATTTTAAAATTGAACATAATAAGCGTTTTTGATATGAAAAGAAGCAATTTGTTATAATTGTGGTAAATTTTATAACGTTTTATAGCTAAAAAAGACAGTTTAAATTTTTGTTGGGATGGCCAAAACCCGATTTGCTCATTTTTAAAAATATGGTACACACATTTCTGATGATAAGCATGGTATAGTTAATAAAAAAATTTATCAACTGCGTAATCGTGTTAACAAGACTTAGTTTATTTGTTTTGGATAAATTATTTTACATTTAAATTATATTGACAAATATGTATGCAAAATAAGGGGAGCGCCCCGTGGCCCGGAGTGGTTAAGGTCGTTTGCAATTTTAACACTGTAGGTTTTTAGAAAAAGCAAGGGACTTTAGATTATTTCCCTGTCCCGGGGCGTTTCCAGCTAGGTTTTTCGTCAGTCGGTTTTTACCTACCCACCCCTGCCTGCCTGAAAAAAGCCAAGAGAGGGCAAAACCCTTTGGGGGCGTCCGTAAACCAGTAAAAAGGGTTAAAAAATCTCCCATAAGAACCTCTACTTTGCTTTTTTCGACGTACAGTCCTTTTTCTTTAAACAGTAATGTTAAACTAAAAACAAAATGTTTGCTTTTAAAGAACTTTTACCCAAATTTTTAAATTCAAAGGGCGAAACCCAGGGATTCACCATCAACGAGCCCGATCTTTTAAAAAAGAATTAGGTAAAAAAAACTAAAATTTAAAAAAACCTGAAAGAACAGATTTTTTGGGAATTTTTTACAAAATTTTTTTAAATGATTGGGTTTTAAGAGAAGTTGTTTTTAAAACCAAATTTTTTTTCCAAAAAATTTATAAGATTAGTTTTTATTTAAAAAAACTATTTTTATTTGGATATTGTTTTTTCTATTTTCGGAAATGGGGTTTTGCATTGTTTCCCAAAGCTAAAATTTTGTAGATTTTGGGCGTTTTTCCCCTTTTAATGGGCTGACTTTTTTTTATTTTAAAAATAATAATAATATGTTTTACTATTAGATTTTCGATTAAAAAAATGATGTTGTTTAAAAGAAGTCGGTAAATTGGGGGGTTTTTTCCTATCAAATCTCAGGGTTTTAAAAAAAGACTTTTTTCTGTTATAACTTTTTTCAATGCGTTTACCCCTTGACAATAAAGTGAAAGAGCACGTTACAAAATAATTAACGATATATCTACCAAAATTTTTAAAATGTAAAAAAAGTGTTTCGTACTCTTGAATAAAAACGGCAAAAAAATGTTTATCTCTATGGTTGTACCATTGAATAAGGCGGCAAAAACATTTTTATCACTATGTTTGTACCATTGAATAAGCCGACAAAAACATTTTTATTTCTATGTGTGTACCCATGAATAGGGCAACAAAAACATTTAATTAATTTTTTATCTTTATGTCTGTACCCTTGAATAGGGCGGCAAAAACATTTTATCTCTATGTTTGTACCCTTAAATAGGGCGACAAAACATTTTTATCTCTTTTTGTACTCTTCAAAAACATTTTTATTTCTATGTTTGTACCCTTGAATAGGGCGGCAAAACATTTTTATCTCTTTTTATACTCTTCAAAAACATTTTTATTTCTATGTTTGTACCCTTGAATAGGGCTGCAAAAACATTTTTATTTCTATGTTTGTACCCTTGAATATCCGACAAAAACATTTTATCTCCATGTTTGTACCCTTGAATAGGGCGAAAAAAACATTTCTAAACTCCATGTTTGTACCCTTGAAATAGGGCGGCAATAACATTTTTTATCTCCATGTTTAAATTTTCCCTTGAATAGGGCGACAAAAACAATTGTATCTCTATGTTTGAACCCTTGAATAAGGCGGCAAAAACATTTGTATCTCCACGTTTGTATCCTTGAATAGGGCGGAAAAAACATTTTTATCTATATTGTCGCCATTAGGACATTAGAATAGCACATTTATTTAGAAAATAAAACATTTAATCAGGTTTTCATTTGTTTTACAGGAGACGAAAGTCCACCCTACATAATGCCAGGTAAGTTACAGAATTAAAGAGAAAAAAAATAAATTGAAAATTTGTTAAAAATTTAAAAAATGCAATTCATATGAGCCGCGCCATGACAAAACCAACACAGAGCCGTTGCGAAGAACATGGATCCAGACCAGCCTGCGCATCGGTGCAAGCTGACCAGGATCCATGCTGTTCGCTTACAAACCATAGTAAAAAGATCCTGATTAGACTGCGTGGATGCGCAGGCTGGTCTTGGGCCATGCTGGTCGCCAACGCACTATGTTGGTTTTTAAAATTTGATTTAGGTATTATACGTTATTGTTATTTATCTGCTTGACTTATTTTACTGTTAATTATAATGATTAATACTATTGACTATAAAATACGATATTAAATAAAGATTATTATTGTTTCAAATACCAGTTCTTCTTTGAAACAAATATAATTTGCCAGCACTGTTTGAATAGTGTATTAACCCCTTTTAATAAGTTCTCGTGGAATATTGGAGCACTTATATGATTTTGATATTTTCTAATTGCTTAACAGTTGTAAGAAAATGCTGCCGGTTTCTTTTTGCCGCACCATGTCTTGACAAATTCAATCCACATTTCTGCGCGTTAAAATCTTGAAACGCTTTGCTTGTCTTTAATGATTTTGATTTTTTTTCTTTATTTCACACAGAAATTGTTTTATCTGGCAACGAATACGTCAATAGCGGTGACACAATACGACTGATATGCAATGTAACCGGAAATACAGAAATACCTCAGGACGTCGATTGGTTCAAAGATGGCGTTTTATTGCGGCCTTTTAGTTCTTCAAAAATTAACGTGAAAAAAGATGTGTCAATTACTCGAAGACAGTTGGACAGTATTTTAGAAATACGCAATAGTAATTTAGATGACGATGGTTTATATATATGCAGGAATTCAGAAAAACTTATAGCAAGTCTGAAAGTGAATATCTTAAACGGTATGTAGATGTTTTTATTCTGTGATAAATAGAAATTGCAAATAAATACCTATATTAATCGACTGCATTTTTCAAACTTAAGTATAAAGCTTTGGTATATACAGAATTTTTTCCAGTTTGATTGTGCAGGAAGCTAATAGATTATAAGACACACTTTTTAATTCGTTCCTGGAACCACTAAGCACTGAACAATGTATCCCATGCAAACAATGACTTGCCCCGAGCGGTGTAATCATTAGATTACTAGTCTGACGCCTTAACCACTCGTCCATGCCACAATTTGAAGCTTTTCCATTATTCATACAAAACTTTTTCAATAGATAGTTTTTGCCATAAATTAATAGGTATATATACCATCCTGGTATCGAAATACGGGCATCTAGTATATCTTTTCATTTCTATGTGCATGTTTGTAAGTGTCTCTACTGATAAGTTTGGTATTGGTCATCAATTGAAACTTTATCATTGACATTCTCAAGCCTAATAACACCTTTAAAAATGTGTACTTCTTTACATTTATTGAATTGAGCACAAAACAAAAAACAGGAGAAATATGCAAAACATTATAACGAAAAAAATTCAAGGCGTTAAGGTTTTATGCAATTATATATATTAGCCTGAACTGAATAAAAAGAAAAAGC